TTCTCTTAGTTTTAGCTTTTGGGATTAAACAGGAATGGCCTCTCCTACACCCAGCGGCTGGCATGGAGATGCCTCTCAAGACCTTCACCCTTAACCATGGCTTGAGGGTTCATACCCCTCCCCATGTCGAGGAGGAGGCCTGTGCAGGTGCCCTAGCTGATCTCTTAGGACAGTGTAACGTATGTTATGCAGCTCGTGTTAACACGGTCCCAATGATTTACCTGAGCGTTCGCACCCTGGTCAACAGGGTGTGCGCAGAGGGCCTGGACACTGCAGGCATACACCATCTTGTCACAACCCTAGACACCTGGGCGTGAGGGTGGTGATTTCCAATGTGCCCCTACACCTGTCCGATTGGGAGCTGGCCAAGGGACTCGAGCCCTATGGAGTTCCTACAAATCCCTTTCGCCAACTGACGATTAGAAGCAAGGACCCGAAGCTGAAGCATGTCCTGTCCTTTCAGAGGCAGGTCTTCATGCTCCTCAGGGAGGGCCCCCGGTCTCTGCCTTGCTCCTTGAACCTCATAAAGGTGGAGGTTTGTGATTTATTGTTCCTTGGGGGAGATCACGTGTTTCCAGTGTGGTAGCTCTTCTGACCTAGCAGCCCAGTACCCACAAGGAAAACTGACCGGAACATCGGTAACTGCAGCAGCACCAAAAGATGATGCATCCACTTCTGGGACACAGGCTGGGATCTCTTCCTGACTTCCTTTTACCCCCATTCCATCTGAGGAGCGGGGGTCTCCGGCATGAGAGCACCATTCAGCAGAGGGGCTGGGACTACTACCTATTACTCTCCCCTGCCTATCCCAGTTACAGTGCCCATCCCCCCTGCTCCTGGTGCAGAGACCCCACCAGGTGGAAGGACTGATGCCTCCATTTGCCCACCCCGGCTGAGGTGGCTGGGGTGGCCGGTGACTGTGGCGCCAGGGCCCTGTTGGATGATGGGGCTCAGGCCTCCACTGCGGCCTCGTCTGAGGTGGCTGGCCCCGGGGGAGTGGGCTGGGAGTGGTCTGACCCATCCCCTATGAAGCAGGGGCCACCTACCACTGAGAAGAAAAACAAGGAAAGGAAGATGAAGAGGGCCTCTTAGGACTCCCCATCCCTACCGGGACCCTCCTTGGCTGGCGCCAGGGCAGCCCCCACTGAACCCAACCCGGCTGTCCTGCCGGTGACCCCATTGCATGTGGCCAGGGATGACTCTGTGGTGGGGGTCCCCAACCCCTCGCCCTTCTCCCAGCTCCTGGAGTTGATGGCAGTGAAGGTGATATAGAATGCCTCCCTTCTGGAGGCCTGACCCAGGGGGCGGCAGAGGGGTTTGTTCACCTCTCGGTCGCATCCCAGCCTACTGGATTGGATGGGGAAGCTAGTGATATGGAGATCCAGCTGTCTGAGTATTTCATAGTTTCTAGGGTCAGAAGGGACCTGAACACATCACCAAATCCAACCCCTGCCCTGGGCAGGAACGAGTGCTGGGATCATAATACCGCAGCCAAATATCTATCCAACCTCGCAAGCAAGCAAGCTCAAGAGCAGGACGATCTCTCTTCCCCCAAGAAGGTGGAGATTACTCTACTGGAGCTGGTCCTCGATCTGGATGATGAAAGGAGGCTGCTGTGCTCAAAAATTGAGGGCGTAGACACCACTTTTTCAGGTAAGCTCCCACCTTGGGTGTGGCCCCACTGCTCTTCTGTCAGAAATGTCCAGCCCACATTGGCAGGCCCCCTTGGGTCGTCCCTAACTATGGGGGTCTCCTGGCCTTTTTGAAGCAGACCAAAGGACAGAAGAATGTAGCAGGGTGCATCACCCAGCAGTGCACAGACCTTAAGCTTTTTGTCAAGGCTGCCAGGACTGCAGCCAAACTTATTACAGTAAGATCTAGGCACTTGACAGATGGCCTACAGTCTGGAAAAGTTTGCACAGCAGATGAGAGACAAGTGGGGGCTGGGGGGGGGCCTGGAATAGATTAGGGCATGATAGGCCCCGCGCCACAGCCTCCAGTTCCGCAAGAAATACCTGTGCGACTTGGCAGAGAGTGCATCCCGTGAAGTGAGGATCTGCACCTGCCGCCAAGAGCTGGCAGAAACCAAAGCCCCAGACTGCTTCTACTTCGACCTGAACTAAGCAGAGCTACTGCATGCCAGGCAGGACCATCCAAGACAACGTGTTCCCGCTGCCCGGCTTACTCACAGCCAGCAAACTCTTCAGCCTTGACATCGGCCTCATCTCTTTGGACCAGGAGAAGACCTTTGATCAGGTGGGCCATGCCTAGCTCTTCCAGACCCTGGAGGCCTTTGGCTTCAGGCCGCTCTTCACCCTCTGGGTCTTGTACCAATACACCTCCAGCCTGCTCAAGGTGAACCGTGTGCTCTGCGCCCCACTGCCCGCACACAGGAGCATCCATCAAGGCTGCCCCTTGCTGGGCATGCTCTAAGCCCTGGCCATTGAGCTGCTACTGCATGGGCTGTTGCACCACCTGAGTTGCATGGCCCATCCACTGGCCCTCCGCTCCAGCTGTCAGTGTATGTGGATGATGTGACCATCTTTCTCAACACCCAGGAACACGTGTGGGCCCTGACAGACTGCCAGTGAGCCTATGACCACACCTCCTTGGCCCATATCAATTGGGCCAAGAGTGATACCCTGCTGCTCAGCACATGGACCAGCACACCCCCCCAGCTTTGCCAGGAGGCCTCACTTGGTGGCACGAGGGCCTCAAGATCCTGGGTGTGGTCCTGGGGCCACCAACCTTTGTGGCATGAAACTGGGACGGCCTTGAGGAGGGGGTGGAGGCCTGCCTGCAATGGTGGTTCTGGCACCTACCCAGCCTCTCTTATCTTGGGCAGGTCCTCATCGCCAACAACCTGGTGGTAGTGACCCCATGGCACTGTTGGACCTACTTGAGAGACTTTAGCACCTCCCGGTAAATTTCTTCTGGGATGGATGCCACTGGCTCCCACAAGCCATCCTTTACCTACCTGTCACCAGGGGGGACCAGAACCTGGTCGACCTGGCCAGCAAGGTGGCCGCCTTCTGCCTCCAGGCCCTTCAGTGACTCCTCTATGGCGAGGAGTGCCTACCCTGGCAACAGCTGGTGTACTGATTCCTGCAGAGGGTGGGGCCTCTCAGCTTCAACTGGGAGCTCTTCCTGTTAGACACTACGCTCCTGAACTGGGCAGTGCTCCTGGCCTTCTACTGTGCTGTGGTATGAGCCTGGCAGGCCAACTTCTGCCTCCGGCCCCAGGCCCAGCACCTACGATTCCTGCAGCTGCTGAGGGAGCCCCTGGTACACAACCCAGCCCTGCAGCGCCCCATGCCAGACCTGGCCTCTGCCAGCCTTGCAGCCACCCTCATCCAGGAGTGTCCCCTGCCTGGACCATCTCCTTGAACTTGCTTGGTCTGCCTGGCTCTCACCCGAGGTCCTGACCACGTGGGTGGGCATGCGCTCTGCTTGCAGCATGGGCTATCTCCTTTGTGACATCCAGGCTGCCCTCCTACTGGAGGCAGTGGCCGCCCTGGATCAAAATTTCTGGGAGTGCCAGGTCTCCCTCAGCACGGATGTCCCAAGCAAGGCCTTTCCACCACTGCCGGTCACCTGGCCGAGAGACCTGGCACCTGGCTGATGCTCCCTGTGCCTCCCAACAGTGACATGGGTTGCCCCTTTATGTCCTTGCCCCGTAGAAGCCTGTATGCTTGGGTTGTTCATGTCCACCATGCCCAGGTGCTGGCAAGCCGCCCTGATGCACCATGGCAATAGCGCCTGGGGCCACCAGATTCCCCACTAGCCCAGCCAGCTTGACACACACCTGTATAAGCCACCAACTGCCAAGAAGACTGGCGACCTGCACTGGTGGTTGCTGCATGGCATCCTAGCCACTGGCACATTTGTGTCCCACTTTGACCTAGCCACCTCTCTGGCCTGCCCTTCTGCCCCAGGGCCATTGAGGAGAGCCTCTTTCACGCCTTCAACTGTCCCTGCCTGCGGCCACTCTTTGTCACCCTTGAGCCGCCACTGTGGGTGCTGGGCAGGAGACTCTCAAAGAACACCTACATGTACTCCTACCCATACCAGGTGGCTGAGTGGGGTGCTGTCTGCCTGGCTCACTTTCTGCTGGGTCAGGCCAAAACGGCCATCCTCAAGAGCTGCTGCAACCAGCTTGCTGAGACCGGCTTAGACGATGCCCTGCGGCGTTTCGGCCTTCTGGTGCTGGATTTTGACTACGCTGTGCTCCGGCGGGCACTGCCTGCCTTTGAGGCATGGTGGGCCCTTGAGCTGGCACTGTGCCACATGGGGGATGGCTGTCTTCAATATGTGCTCTGATGTCATGATCAGTCTGGGCAACTGGGCTCGATGGTGGACTGCAACTCCCAGCTTGTGCTGCGTCCTAGGCCCTCACCAAGCTGCTTTTTGCTCTCTCTCTCTCTTTTTTTTTTTTTTCTTTTTTTTACAGTCACCTTTCTATCTTGCTTATGTACACAGGTATGTAATATGGCCCTTTTGCTATTTATAATAATAGTTTGTCCAGAGTTGTTCAGATTTAAAACATGCCCAAAATGGCCTCTTCATCCACACGTGTACAAAACAAAAATCTCTTACGCTTTGCTGGTGTGCAAAAGAAACTAAAAATATTAGCAGGGATCCAATGGAAAACAACACCGGGAGACAAGAATGCATTATCATTTGCACAGCTTACTTATAAAGGGACCAAAATTTACACACACCAGCTTTTGATGAAATGTAACAAAAAACAACGATTAATATGTATGACACCTCTGCCATTTCTAGAAAAATAGTCATGCCCCTAACATACCCACCACCATATTAGGAGTTGTAATTTTTTTGGTCTTGCAGGGTCCTACTTCATAGGAGCCTGGAAATCCTTCACTATATGGAAGTTAGAGATGATGCTAGCCCATCTGGGTCAGTTGCTAACAGTTAGAAATAACCTACAATATTCTTTAAATATTATCCCAGAATTTCCTCTTCATTTTTTCAGTGATTTCGTACTGAATCAACTCATTTTTACAATTTTTTTTCCCCTTTTAAATTGCAACATTGCAAATGTTTGCTTGGATCTGAAAATCTAGATGTTTTCTACCCGTCCTTAGGACAATCATCAACCTACAGCTTGTTGATATAACAAATGAGGCAGAATAAAATCCAGCTCACCCTAAGAGCTGTATTGGTTCTGCTGTGCTAACAATAGCAACAATGGATTCCTGTCAATACAGTGCAAGTCAACACAGTATAAGCCAAACAAGCTCAAGTACAGAATAAAAATACCAACTGAAGATGCTACTTTTAAATAAATCATCTCATTTTGAGCTAAAGCTATATTTAAGTGCCTTGAAGAAATTTATAGGAAAACATTATACATACTTTTCAATGGGAAGAGGATGAGGCCCAGAAACAGAAAGCTTGTAGATGAACATAAGAAATTTTCGAAAGGCTTCAAAGAAAGGCCAATGTGAGAGAAGGCAGATACATTTGTTGGAATTGATGGACTTGGCAGTAGCCACTTTTCTCCCCACAGCTGTCAGGAGGCTCAGCTGCAGTTGCTGCTTTTCTGTTAGCAGCTCCCTGGAATAAGGCTCATAAAACTGAATAGCAGCACCATAGACCTGAAGGACACAGAAAGACAAGGGGTTATGCCCTAGATTAAGCAGAAGGTCGAGCTTCATTTCTTCAGAGTATTCTTCACTTTGTTTTTGTGTGTTGTCCCATGGCTAAGACTTCTAGTGTTACAGCTATGTGCACATATTGAAAATGAATATACATTACACAAAAGAACTTTTATTTCTAGTTTTCAGATCTCCCACTGTTCTACCATTCCACTCTGCTCTTCTCCACCACTTCCCTCCAAAATTAGATGTGGTAAACTGAATTCCTTCGGGAGGTTGTTAAACTGGGATGTTATAGAAAAACGCTGTTATCATACTAACTTTCACTCAATCCACCATCACGTACTGGCTTTAAGTTTAGAACCCATTTCACTTTTAAGTTTTTGACCAATGAGCAGCTTTTCCTAACACTTCACCTCTCTTTTGTCAAAGGTGCATACAAACTGAAGTATCTTGGCAAACCGACAATGCAAAAATGAACACTGATACTATAAAATATGTTCCCTCAAAGACAAAACATGCATATATGGTGCATACTTTATTTGTTCTTTATCAAGAAAACTTACTAAGCTGGAAAAAGGGTTTCAGCTTCCTTTATGATAAAGCAGTAATTTTAGGAGGAGTGATCACAAGAGATGACCATCAGGAACTGTAGCAAAATACTGCTATACATGAGACAACTGAACATCTTATTAGGGATGGACTAAGCTTCCCTTGCCCTTGTGGATGGAATTTGGAGCACCAGGAACAGCAATTTTAGTTCTTATGAAACCTGTGTACGTTTTGAGTTCATGGAACTAAACACCACAAAACTTTTCTTGTGTTATTTCCTTCCTGTCTGTCTGTACTGGACCTTCCTTTAGGGTGAAAAGAAACCTTCACGTGGATGTGAGCTATTTCTTTAATGTCTAATTTTTTGTGAATTTTATATGCATCTGGAATCATCTCAAAATTCTTAAATTTCTAGAAGCAAAACATTATTTCACAGGAAAAAGATTACTTAGCTTTGAACAGCTAGTAGTGGGCATAGAGATTCTTCTTTCCATCATAATCCCATAAATAATGTCAAAATGTATGACAGATATTCAGTGGGACAACTGAAATTTCTCAAAATCTGACAACATACATTCCACTGGACCTTCACATAACTCTAACTTAGCAAAAAACCTCATAACGTCCATTTAAAATAAAATGCAAAATATACTGTACTATGCCCTACCTTTTCTGCAGAAGAACCAGTCAGTACAAATGTTGAGAACACTGGTAGTGGATATTTGGTTTGAGGATCCCAGCATTCAATAGTAGCTCCCATTGGAAGGCAAAATAGAGGAACAGATTCTGACAATGGGAATGACTCATAATCCTCCTCTGGATATCTGAAAATCAAGCCTTTCAGGGAGACATTAGTAAATGCATTTTCAATAATCTGCAAGCCCTGAACAGACAGATAGCAATATGTATAAGTATACATCAACTGAACTGTTAAATCAGCCACAGCAGCTGTGTATGTAGCCTTCAGAAAAGGAAATACTCCCATTAAACTGAGAAATTAAATTATCTAATTGTAATGTATTCCAACGTTCCATGGAAAACCCATGCTCACTATTTGTAATTGCTCAAACAAGTACTAATTGTAAAAAAAAAAAAAAAAGTCACATGAGTGAAAGTGTTGGCTTTGAACCAAATAAAAGCTATTTTGGTTTATTCCTTAAAAATAAGTAAACCATTTAAGTGGTTACATTACAAAGAAATTCCAAGGAAGGAACTCAGCATATATACTAGCAATATATTAGCTCAGTAGGGTTAATATTCCTTGGAATACCAAGACAACTCATCGACTGGAAACGTACCTGAAAGCTTCAGTGAGTTTACACTAGTCCCCTGTTTGCTTGAATTGTCAACACAGAAGTGCAACTATTAAGCAACTTCCAGGCAATGCACCTAGCTTCAATTCCAGAAAACTCTGCACATAATCATGAGCATACTTATCAGAGTTACAATATAGCAGCTTATCTGGTCCCACAGGACAGATCTAGCCCCCGCAGCTTCTTGTGGTCTGGATGATCCACCAGCAGTGGCAAGGTAGGTGCTTATCTGTGTGGCTTCTGGAGCTGTTGCACTTGCATAACTCTGAAACCCAAAGAGTAAGTGATGCCACCCCCTACCCACTACTCCTTTTTCCTGGCTGCCCGTTTGAGTTGCAGCAGTGACTGAAGACCCCAACTTCAATGGTGAGTAAGAGGGTGAGGATGAGTGGTGGCAACATTTACTGGCTAGGAGCCAGCAGCTCTGGTAGTCACACAAGCTACAATTTATTCCATCACAGGCCACATGCAGCCAACAGGCTGCCACTAAGACACCCCTGTTATATAGCATCCTCTGACACAACCCGTGCTTTCCACTTCTACTCATGAAACAAACTCTGGCAATCTATCCCAGTCAAGAGATGAAGAAAGAGGCCATCCCAGGATTTCTGATGTCTGTACATGCAAAGGGGAGATTTTTTTTAGATTTCATTAATGTGATTTTCAAGAAGTGATAGTAGCAACCGCAAATTTCCCAGCCATTTCTTAGTTGAGACATTCTTCAGCTCTTCTTCACCAAAACAGATTAGCAGGTTGCAGTAGAGGAGAAATGTACCTAACTGTCCCAATAAATACAAAATGCTCTGACAGCTATGAGAAAAACAGAAGGAAGCATGTAAAAAGTTGCCTAGGGCCTCCAAACATGGTCTTCTGCCCAAAATACTCAAGATCAAATTAGAAGCTTTTCACTATACCCACAAACCTTGGAAGTGTTTGATTTAAGCATGTCAGACTGCCAAGTTTGTTGAGGCAAGCCATAAAAATAAAAAACAAAAGCAGTTAAAATCATATGTAACAAGGTGCAAGCTTCAGATATTTGCTCAGACTTTTGCCTCAGGAAACCAATATAAACCAGAGGACAGGATTATACAGTTTGTTTTGGTTGACCTACAGCAGATCTCTGCCCAGCAGTTTGACAAGGAACAGATTTTTATAAGCTGAAGAATAGATTAATAATATTAGCTGGGACATTTATGTACCTCTAATATATTTACAGAACCTGCTTTCAAAAGGACTGACTTAAAATTACTTACCAGTTTTATATGCTATTGAGTTGGAAGCTGGCACAGACTTTTTGTAACAAAGGTACACGCTGGACCCCCACTGTAAAATACAGAATTAAACTTCATCAAAGCCTATAGAAAAAGCCACCAAAACAATTACAACAGATTAAGCTTTTGAATCTATACTTACAAGTAAAGCACAGATATTTAAATAAAAATAATTGAAAAGGGGAGGGAATATATAAGTATTTAAAGCCTTACAAAGCAACTTACATCAACATTCAGAATTCCCGTACTCATTATTAAAGATAAAAGTAAAACTTGAATAACGCGTTGCGTTGCTGAACGTTCAAACATACCGATAATTAGTATAAGAGAATCAAAATAATTGTAGCTTTCACGCTCTCTAGCATTTCCTTCCTTTCCTCATGTAAATCAGTCCTTTGGATAGAAACCATCACTGAAAATTTGGCCCCAAATTTAAATTTTTAAGAGGCAAAGGAAATACTTGCAGTGTTTTATACTATTTTATGGAATCGAAGAAGTGTTTTAAATGACCACTCTCTTCTTGCAGCATTTTGAGATTCATACACTAATACTGAAAGCAAAGCAGACTATACAAACAAAAACAAAACTGACTTAACATCCAACCTCAATGGAAAGCACAAGAAGAGAAAAATGTAAGCAGAACATTGGATTCTATCACTTTTGAATATTTTAAATAGACAAGCAGCACTGGTATCAAAGAAATATCTGTTTACAATACACATTTTTAGGTTGGCTTGGAAGAACGGACGGACGGAAGGATGGACTTTTAGCTACTTTATTCAGAGGTTCGGGGTACAAAAAGTTGGTCCCTCCGGGGTTCAGGTCCAATATACAAAGCAAAGACAAACAAATTACCGTCAAACCAAGAGCACCATGTCATTATATTCATAACATCACACCATGACAGACAACTTTGCTGTATTACATGTAATGCCTAACATAGTTTCATAGTTTCTAGGGTCGGAAGCGACCTGAGCAGATCATCTAGTCCGACGCCCTGCCATGGCAGGAAAGAGTACTGGGGTCAAACGACCCCAGTAAGGTGGTCATCCAACCTCCTCTTAAAAAACCCCAGGGTGGGAGCCTGCACCACCTCACTTGGAAGCTGGTTCCAGACCCTAGCCGCCCTGACC